GCATCTTAGACATTAAACTTCAACGCGAAGTCGAAGATGATGACGAAGAATCCGTAGTTGGGCCTGTTATTGCGCCATTTTTCCCTCATAAAAAGGATGAAGGATGGTGGATTGTTATCGGGGACACTTCTAAAAACTTGTTACTTGGTATTAAGCGTATCACTTTGAATAAGTCGTTAAATGTGAAATTGGACTTTACTTGCCCTTCGGAAGCTGGTGAACACCTTTTAAAAATTTATTTTATGTCAGACTCGTACATGGGATGTGATCAAGAGTTTGATCTTCAAATAACAGTTCAAGAAGGAGCCGATGATAGCGAAGAAGAGTAAGGCCACTCCAATTTAATTTTCTGTTTAACACAACATGAAAGTAGCTTATGATAGTGGGGGGAAGGGTATTAAAAAAACACAAATAATAAAAATACAACAATTCTATTGGCTGTAAAAAAATGTAAAAATGCAAAAAGTTAATCCTGCAATTTGATTGGTTTATATTATGTTTTTTTTTTATGCCAAAATTTAAAAAATAGAGGGGGGTTATGTTAAGCAGAGAATCAAATTGGTCTGGTCTAATGTTTATTATATATTAAATTGGTTAAAAAAATTTTAATAAAAAACAATTTATTATACAAAATTAATTTTTTGTTTTTTATAGTAAATTTTTAAAAATAACCTGCCAGGTTATGAAAAACAATTAATTAAATTTGTATAGACCTATAATTTAAATAAAAAACTAAACTGACTTGATTTGTAATTTTTTTTAGTATTATTAATTTAAAAAAATAAAATAGATTTTTTAAAAAATTAAATATACATAAACATATATAACTCTTTCTGATAATCACTTGTACTATATATTTAATTAACAAAAATAAAAAACTTGTTGGAGAAAGTAGAAGAGACGATTACAAGTAATGGTTTTTACAGAGGTCAAGGTTTTAATCACTATTTTCTTTCAAACTCTTCTGTATATTCAGCAAGCTAGTTAAAAGTATTCTTGTACAAGATAACTAGCAGAAGGTAGTGTTCTTGTACAAAAAATTTTAATAGAAGCATAGCTTCTGCTGACAAAGTTATTCGTAGCTAGTCTAAAGGAGAACAACAAGCAAGTTTTCAACACTTTCTTTATTGAAGTTTAAGATTACCTGCAAACTGAAATCTTCTACCAAGACCTTACTCACTGTTCTTTATGAAATTTCGACAAAAAATAGAAAATACAGCATATCTTTATCAAAAGATTGACAACAACAATTGTTGCCGAAAAAGTAAAGTCATATACAGGAATACATATCTACTTTAGAATGAAAAACCTCTAATCGGTTACCTCAAGAGGTTACGATGTTTATATTGAGATTTATAGAAGCTAATAAAGCGTAAGTTGTTAACTTTGCTTAGGAAACAAGCAATTAAGCACAAGAATATGTTGCAGGATACTGTATTGAAAACCTGGTGGAACCGCAAGAGAAATTTCGAACTTGAACCTCTATTCAAAGATGGATATTTTATATATCCTAATATAGATATAAATAACTAGTATAGAGTTTAGACTAGTTTTTAGTAGTACTATATAATTTTTACAATCTGGCATAGGTTTAATAGTACTATCTTTGTTTTCTTTTCTTTTATTTTG